CGAGAGCCGCCCACCTTGGCCCTCTGCCCGCCCCCGCCGCCGCCTCCCCTCGCTCCCTTCCCCTCGCCGACTCTCCGCGTTAGGAAGGGCGCAAATGACAGCAACTCAATTAGAGGCGGTTGGGAGCGCGGCGCGGGCTGCGGGGAGATAACAGCGCGCGCAATTACCTCTCATTATGGCAGGCGAGAGTGGATCTGGGCGGGCAGCCCGGCCTCCCCCCGCCTGGCACCCTGCGCAGCTTCGCCAGGGCTCCCTTGCCTCTCGGCAGGGTAATGGGGAGTAAACCGAGCGCAGCTCCCTTCGTTGAAGCAGCTGCAGAAGCGAAGCTGAACGGGGACATCTCCGTGTGATGCTGCCTAAGGAGGTGCACAAGGTTTGGGCACAGCATCCGGGAACAGAGGATATTCCCCTCTCTTCACGAGCCGGGGATCTGGTGGTCCCTTAAAGCCCCTTTGGCTCCTGCCTTCTGCTCTACCGTCAGAACAAAACGGGACTTTCTTGCTGCTTCGAAGTGTTATGAGGTGAGGGAGTTTAGAAACCTGTCTTGTTGCCCAGGCTGCAAGCCAGCAATATTTTGAGTCTGCGATAAAACTTTTTTTTTCTAAAACTTTTGTCTAAAAGGGTAAAGATTGCCCACTGACAAACAAAAACTAGCCCCCACTGTGTCAGCTTGTGCACCAATGAAGTTTTGCTCACTCATGTAACTTAATTGTGGTTATGGCATGCAGAGGGATGTGCAAACAGAATCAAAAAGGAAGCAATGTCAATGTCAGGTTTTTTTTTTCCCTGCCAAATTATATTTTCTCTGCAGCAGATGAGCCCCTCAAATTCCTCTGTCAGCGTGAAAAGCATGATGGATGTTACACAGAGTGCGCCAGACGTGCAGCTCCTTCCTCTGAAACTGCTTAAGCTTCCCTGCACTCTTGGACGTGGCCTGTGTGCTTGAGACACTGCTGAAGCAGAGGCAGCTATTGAACAGCTCAATGCTCTCTCCTTTTCCAGGTGCTAAAGCAGGTAATGCTTTTACTTGAACGCAGCATAACATTCACAATCCAGGCGAGGAGCGCAACCTGGTCTTGGGGTTCTGTTTCCTACCTGCCAGTTTGTTCTTTCTCTGACAGGAGCAGTAGGGTTTTAATAATTTCCCTGTCAACAGATCCCTGGTATAAAATGACTTGAATACGGTTTATTGAATACAATCATTAAAAGCTAACGTACATAAATAAGAAGCATGAACTTTGTGGATTTTGTCTGATAATTCATATTGCTTTCTGAGGGTGTTCTGTCAGCCATGACCTGATCTGTAAATTTCAGACTGAGTATATCTGGAAAATAATAACACATTTTTTTGCAAAATGTAATTTTTCCTCACCTTGTGAAAAATGGACTTGATGAAATTTCCTGGCAATCTGTTCTAAACTTTCAAAAAGTCTTTTTAAAAACTTGAACCTTCTCTGCAACAACAAAAAAGTTTTATTTGTATTATTTGAATAAAATCACAAGAATTCTGTCAGTGGCATCAAAACGTGGATTTAAGCAACATATAAAAATATGTTAATTCTGCTAGATTTTTCTACAGTTTGTTCTTCAATTTCCCATCAAAAGTATTTGAAACAATGTATTTAATCTGTAATTTTTATTCTAGTTCCCCAACATAATTCTTGCATCTTCCTGTCAAATTGTAGAGCAGAATTATCTTCTCATCTTCATTGGAGTCAGATGCAAAAGAAAGCCGCCTAGTGTACCCAAAGGCTTCATCTGTCACTTGCCCATCATACTTCTTGTCTTTAGGTTAGTGTCAATTAAACAATTTTATCAGTCATTCCTGCAATTTATGTTCTCATTCCCTCAAATTTCCCTGTCAAGAATGCTATTAGTCTTTCCTGTATTCCTTTGGAATTCTAACCATCACTGCTCAGACAGAAGAATTAGAATTTAATCTGAGGCCTATTTTAGCTTGGAAAATGGCCATCTATTTGAGTATACAGTTCATTTTCTTATTGAGGTGACTCTTCAACATGCTAATTCTTCTAGTGAATTATATGTTGATTTTTTGGTTGGGGAGGCTTGATGCATTTTGCACAAGCTCTTAGGTTATGCCTGGTCCTCAACCACAAGCTCACCATGAGACAAACCCGCAAGGAAACTCATGTGAAAGCTGCTGAAGACAATTGTACAATAAGCACAGATAATGAACCTGTCTCTGGTGTCTTTAAATTGATTCATGAGAGACTGGATCACTGTCTGTCTGTCTGTCTGACACAGGAACACGTACTCTGTTCTATAATTAACTGCGTTTCCTAATAATGGCATGAAAAGGAAGAAATATTGGGTTTTTTTTCAGCCAGAGTAAATCTTTCAAAGAAATGTTTGAGGAAATGATGACATGGGTTAGACAAACAGAGTAGTGTAATATTGGGCTCTGGCAAAAAAATAACTGATTTTTGTCACTGAAGATTTCATTCTAAGGACCCATAAGCAATAAATAGTATATATTTAATAGAGAAAAAATCTTTGACGTACAGGTAATGAAGTAAGAGGACCTGTTTTGTTTTTAATTAACATAAGCCATTAGGAATGACTACTTTGTACGATGTTCAGGAAGAACACCAAATAAAAGTGGATTTTGCAGAATATTTTGAAAGGATCTAAAGATGCAGTGACTCCCCTCACCATAGAACTTCTTGAGAGATAGTGAAGTGTGAAAAGGCATCTTTGCTATTTCTATGTGACAATCATATATGACTTCAGTGTGTGTATAGCAATGGATTAGTAGTATTAATAGTTCGGCATTAATATCAGCAGCTTAGCTTGTGCTAGCAGTTTCATTCACTCTGAAGCAATTTTAAATTTTAAAGATCAGTATTTTAACATGGAGATTTACCATAACTGTGTGGCAATCACAAGTGCAAGGCATTAGCTGATGCACAAATTTCTCTCAAACAGAATACAGAAACTGTCAGGTCTGAGTATCCAGAACTAATGAGGAATTACAGTTGTCATAAGGCTGTGAGCTGCCTTGCTGACCTAAAGATTAAATGGTGGCAAATTACGACAATGTCACAGAGGTGAGAAGTTATTTGGAGTTTTTCTTTCTATCCAACAGCAACTCTTCGAGATCTGAGTTGCAGACAACTGTTCTTTACTGAACTGAGGATCTCAGTGAAAAGAGAAATTGAAGATGATACTATTTGCATTTGATCTGGAGATGACATAAAGCTTCAGTTTGCAGCTGTATCATTCTTTTAAGGTAGTTAGCCCTTTAAATCTTCTGGAAACCTCAAAGCTATAGAATCTGTTTTCTCCTTAACGGAACAGGGAAAATGAATAATAATAATAAAAAGTAATAGTAATAGAAGGGTCATTTTCTTCATCCTTCAAAGTTTTGCTATTGTCTTCTTCCCATTTTCCCATTTTGTAATTCTCATCTAACTCAATAGCTGAAATGTGGGTAATTTTCACTGAGTTAGTCTTTTGCCCATTTTACCACCTGCAGCTCAGTGTCAAATAGAACTAAATATTATAGATATCTTCTGAATGAAGGATTATTTTATCTTCTAAATTACACAGGTATCAACTAATAATTTCCAGTTACTATATCAATCAGTGTGCTATTAATGCTATTATTCACACTACATAGATCACTACAACAAAAATGTGATGAGGATACATTAAACTATCTTAAATGATTTTAAAAATGATTTTTTAATGATTTTTGGCTCAAGAAGCACATGAATTTTAGAACTAACTTCATATGAGAAAGATATAATGGTGTAAAAAGATTGAATAATAGAATTAGAGAGGAAAATTCTGGAAATAAATTGCTATACACATCAATAATATTACGAGAAGTGATAAAAATCAATCTTGATTCCTGTGTCTTAAAGCTTACTTAAGGAGTGTTATGCGTCTGTAGGATTGATTAAGTTAGCTAACTTAAAAACCAGTTCAAAACCAGTAAGGACACATTGCCAGCCAGCACAATCAAGAGAGCTTCATATTGTAAAGAAGTCAGACTAGAATAAAATCTCTTTCCATGCAGGTTTATATAAAGATCCAAATAAAGCTCTGAGAGTCTGGAGTATTCCAAGAAATCTTGTATGCCGGGGTGTCTGATTGTCGTAGCAGAGGATCAATATAGGTTGTGTGTCCCACTGCCAGTATGGAATCACATAGAGCACGTCAGCCCTTGGTGGTGTCACCAAGCTGCTGTAAGAGGCAGCTGTTAAGGTGCTAAGCTTAAGCTTAGCTGTTAAGGTGTTAAGCTGTTAAAAATGAGCCCATGTCTACCCAAAGCAGGACAGCTCTTTCTGCTCCTTCAAGATCTCAAGAGGGAACAGCGCCTACCTGCTGCTGAGAAATGATGGGAGAGATACGTGTTGCCAGCCTCCTCTCTTCTGCTGAGCAAGCTGTAATCTCACCAAAAGTTGAGAAGCTGACCTTATTTAGAGGCATCAAGGATGTTAAATAGTTTTTTCAAGCTCTTGTTGGTGTGAAATCATACATCTATTACAAGCTATTTCTCATTTTAATTACTGTGGGTACACATGTAATGGCTCTTCGGGTATACTATATAGGTGTGTCATGCACACAATATCCTTTTTTTCTTTAAAACATCACATAAAATAATCTTTTGGTGCATTTCAGTGTTAAACAATCTGAAGATTGACTGCTTTTAAAAATATTTGCCTGCATTACAAACAGTATTATTTCCTTATTTGAAAACAACATCATCATAACTCAATTGGAATTTCTGTAGTGGCTTTGAAAGCTCTTAAAATGTGCTTATGACTCATGATGCAAAAGGTTCCTATTATTAAATTATAGCTTTGCATTTAGATGAGAATGAAGCCGATATTGTGCAGATATTGTCATTTTTTTCATAAGA